TTTTATTGCTGAGTAGTGTTCCATGGTATGGATGTACCACAGTTTGTTTAACCATCCACCCACTGAAGTATATTTGGGTTGTTTCTGACATTTGACTAATACAAATAGATCCATTGTGAACATCAGTGCAAAAATATTTACAGGAATATAAGTGTTCATCTATCTGGGATAAACACCAAAAAGTACAGTTGCCGTACCTTAGGATAAGTGCATATTTAGTCTTCAGAGAAACTACCAAAACTATTTTCCAGTGTAGCTGTAACATTTTACATTCCCACCAACAGCAGCATCCTATAATTTTATTTGCTAATCTGATAACCCTGATTACTAATATTAAGGATCTAACTTTCTTGATTCTCCTTGCCCTTTCACCGAATATTTAACTTATTTCTGTTGGCAGCATTCTTCTCTTTCATCTCCCTCTGCAGCATGGCAGCTACCTGGGGACCCGTGGTTCTGGCACTCCTCAGTCCTTCCACTGAGACCTCAGTGCCAGGGTCTCCCTAATCCACACCTTTTACCCAGAATTCTCCTTCCCCAAGCTCTACTTTGTATACCCAGCTGTTGAGTCTGCTACTCTAACTGACACATCAAAGGAATTTAGACTCAATATGTTTGAGTATCTTTCATTTCTTCCTTTCATTCAGGTCGCTATTAAAATGTCACCCTTTTAGAGAGGACTTTCCTGATCACTCGATCTTAAATATTACACTCTGCTCAATTTCTGTTATTATTTGTGTTATTTTTACTTATGCCATCTAAGATATATTAGAAATATGTTTGTGATCTAGACATGAACATAGAAATATATAGATACATACATACATGCGCACATACACAGGTATGCTCCCTGGGATATAAACTACACTAGAACAGGGACATTTTCCCCCTGCTATATACCCAGCACTTAGTAAATGCTTGACTCATAGTAAATACTCTCTTTTTTTTTAAAGGAATAAATGAGTATGTGCAACTTTAACTTGTTATCACTTGGGGACTTAATTCAATTTTTATTTAATCAAAGTTATCCATGTCCATTTTAAACAAATATTTCCCCAAGGCTTATAATGAGAAAGCAAAATGTTCCTCAGCTCTTTTCCCAAGTGTCACTCACTGAAGTAACCATTTTCAACTCTTGTTATTTTCTTCTTTATTTCTGGATAACCTGCTACACTGCTGTGCCTTGATTTGTCATATATGTCGTGGTTAACACCCTCTGTCACTGCCCCGCCCCCTTGATTCCTGGGTTCCATTTCTTCCTCTGCTTTGTTTTACACTCCCCTCTTTTCCTATGAAGAGCTGGGGCATGGGAGTTTAAACTTTTAGTCCCTTTCATATCTCAGTATGTATTTTTTCTCTCCTTGTAATCTGTAAACTTGGCTCTAAATCTTTTTTTTCCTTAGAATATGAAGTTATTTTTCTATTTTTCTACACCAGTCATTAGCTAAGGAATATTGTGACATGGGGCAAAGCAAAAAACTTCCAGGTGTCTCCAGCTCTCTGTACTGGCAAAGTGACCTCATTGCCCAAAGGAAATCCTTTGAAGGTCTTGTGTGTGAGCCATTACCAGCAAAGCATGGGGAAGCTGGAGGATGGATCCCAGCACTGATAAAGAAGATCCAAGGAGAGTTGAGCAGGCACCAACAACAAACACTGAATTCTAGTGTCTTCCCCAAACAATCATTAAATTAAGAAGTGACAATCCCTCATAATTATAAAGCATTTTGCGGTTTACAGGGTGTTTTTGTTTTTGTTTTTTTTCTTATCTCTTACTGCAGTTGATCTTCAGAGCAATTTTCTAAGGAGAGAAGAACAATATTATTATCCTTATTTTTCAAGACTCAAATAAGGCAGAGACTAAGTGACCTTTCAGTATCTTCAGATTCTAAGCCTAGAGTTTATTCCAGCATGCTGCATCATATTCAAGGGTCTTATAAATATTTTATATAGACATGGAATGCACACAAATATGAACTATTTAATCTAAGTATCATGACTTTTATAACTTAAAAATACAGGAACTCTTATAAGGAATAATCTGCTTTTCAGTTTTAAAATTATTTCCATTCAGTTCATCCAACATTACATAGAAAAAAAGGGTTAAGCAGCAAGCTTCATATTGGAAATCTTTAAAGCTTAGTTCCCACAATCACTCAAGGCTTCTCCCTGTGTTTCATTACTCAGATGGTTTAATTAAAGCCAATGTGAAAGAAACATATTAAAATGTTCCTGGAGCACTGCAAGAGGTTGATTCATTTAGAATGTACTTGGAGTTCTTCCATAATTTTCCCATATGGGCCTATTTACGTATAACCACTATGACTCATGACATTACTGCCGAAGTATGAATATTTTCCATAAATATTTCTAGCAACTCTTACAGTCTGTTATCAACACATCAGACGCTTCCTTCTTATAGTTCAGTAATCCCTTAGCAGTATCGTCTGCTTTTACCTTCCTGTTTTGCTAACACTAGACCACCACTAATGGGGAATCTCTCAGTGATAATTTCAGAGATGTTGAGAAGAGTTTACCCCATGGATTTACTCAGAACTAAATAGCTTCTACTGTGTTCGCTCCCCTCCTGTCACTTGAACCCTTTACTCTTTCTGCATGATCTAAAACAGTGCTTTTCAAATCTGGTGGCACGTTAAAATCACCTGGGGAGCTTTAAAATGCACAGATGCCCTGGCTCCGCCCCAGCTAATTAAATCAGAGTCCCAGGCACTGGTCTAAGTTTAAAGCTCCCAAGTTATTGTATCATGAAGCCAAAGTTGAATACACTGTCCTGAAACAGAAGAAATGTGATGGGTCCATTGGTGTCTGGAATCGATTTGGCTGTCTCACATATCTTAGTAGCAGGTTTTCAGTTCCTTTTTAGCTGAGAATTTCTCCATTAATTTTGGTCTTTTTTTGCAGATCTGGTCAACCAATTTGAGGTCACAGAGGGATAAACCTAGTGCCTAATGATATTACATCTAGACCAAGTTGCAGTTGTTTGGCATAGTTTGAATATATTAGAAAAAGAAACTGTTGTACCTTGTAGAATCTGAAAACTGAAATTTAATGCTTCTGAGCTTCACGTTCTCTCCATGAGCTCATTAGAAACAGGATCAGCAGTTATATCCTATACATATATATATATTTTTTCCGGTATGCAGGCCTCTCACTGTTGTGGCCTCTCCCGTTGCGGAGCACAGGCTCCAGACACACAGGCTTAGCGGCCATGGCTCACGGGCCCAGCCGCTCTGCGGCATGTGGGATCTTCCCGGACCGGGGCACGAACCCGTGTCCCCTGCATCGGCAGGCGGACTCTCAACCACTGCGCCACCAGGGAAGCCCCTCTCCTATATTTTCAGCTCACCTTTTCTATCTACCTTCTACTGTTCTCCTCAGCTGTTACTATTTTCTAAGTCTGTTCCTTAGATTTTAGTACAAGAAATCACTTGTGATGGTTTTAGAAATAGAATTCCCTAGCCCTACTTATTAAATTGAGAAATCTTCATTGTTATGTTTTAACCTAGGTAAATGTTTTAGCCTAGGTAATGTTTTAACATTGTTATGTTTTAACCTAGGTAATTCTCATACAGGTAATACACAGAGCCCATTTTGAAAAACAAAACTCTCATTTCTTTAGTTGTTATTGTTAGTTTTTTCAAGAATGAAAGAGAGGGATAAATTGGGAGATTGGGATTGACATATATATATGTCAGTATAGATAATACTGCTGTATATAAAATAGATAACTAATAAGAACCTGCTGTATAGCACAGGGAACTCTACTCAATACTCTGTAATGGTCTATATGGGAAAAGAATCTAAAAAAAAAAAAAGTGGATATATGTATGTGTATAACTGATTCAATTTGCTGTACACCTAAAACTAACACAGCTATAGTTGTGTTACTAGCTGACTGTAAATCAACTATACTCCAATAAAATTTTTTTTAAAAAGAATGAAAGAAGGAATTAAATGTGATTTTAAAAGATACCCTGACATTACTATTTTGCTCCCTTTTATTCTGTGAGTTAACACATGAAAAATGTTCTACTTAATTATTTGATGTAAAGTATACACACATACATACTCATGCATATGTCTATTTATATAAGAAGTGATGAATTCTTATCCCACCCTGGTGTTATGATGATTGATAGTATGAGACAAGAAAAAAAGTCTTTGGAAAATTATATATACCTAATGAATTTAATGATTATTTGCTATTTATATAGAAATAATCTGTAGAATAAAATATCCACATGTCAATTCTAATTGGTCTTGAACATTTCATGATATTGGACTTCTGTTTAAGAGGTATTATATCTTTTCAGGATAGAGATTTTATTACAATGTCGTAATTATTATGAAACTTTTTCTTTTTTGGGGGGATAGGTCAGGTTTTAACTAAAAACCTCCAGGGATATTTTAACTCTTAGTAAAATTGTAGAGCTTTTTTTAAAAATTTTTTGAATGTACTTTAGCTTATGACTTTGATGAATGTTGTATACTGGGTATTAAAAAAGTATGTATTTTAAAATTTTACATGCTGTACAAGTGTGCTAATTGGAAAACAAAGAAAGATGTTGATTTGACATTATAAACTGTATTAAACCACATTAATATCTCAAAATATACTATTGACAACATAAAAATCATATGCTTTAAATTTTCAGATAATTTTTAATTGTAATTGTATTTTAAATTTGAGTTCAACTTTATTTCTCTGGGCCCAATGAAATGTCTTTAATTTTCTTTCCAGTACAAATCTTCAAGTAAAGTATTTAGGAAAAGTATGTTTTAAAAAAACCTTGAATAATAGGAATTGTATATGATTAAGTAATGTATTTATATTTTCATATAAAATAATATAAATTAGTAACTTCTATTTAGGATTTGGACTTGAATTACTATCACATCGTTCTATTATTCCATGATATATTTCAACATGACTTACTGACATATGATAAAGTAAAGCCTGTCTCACAAGTGACCATTTTCAGTTTCTTGGCAGCACAGAAGTGGAGCAGCCCAAAGGAACAGAAGTTGTGAGAGATGCTGTAAGGAAGCTAAAGGTAGGGAAAGCCCTCCAGATAAGTGTCTAGTGTATTGAATTTATCTTCAGTCATCAGTAGACTGGTGAAAATTCAAAGCATGAATAGCTCTGTGGCAGATATGGCTTCACCCTGGTAAAAATGGTCTGTTGAATGAATATCACTAGATCAAGGAAACATATTTAGTAATAACTATGTACACACGATTATTTTTCTGTGTGTGGACCACTCTTTGTATTTTTCTAAGGTATAATTTTTCATACTCAACAAAAAAAATGTAATGGCAATATTTTATGTGTTGACATTCCGTAGCTTGCCTTTACTTTGCAATGTGGACTTGTGCCCTAACTCAAAGACTAATAATGGCAGAACAACTGTCTCTAAAAGTTAGAATATCATATTCACCAGTTGAAAGTATAGAATTAGACTTAATTACAAAGCAGCATTTTGCTGTTGCACTATATGTTAAAGACGTCCTAAAGGACAAATCCACGAGGATCTGGCCATATCTATGAGCAGACCTGGGGAACTGGTGAGAGTAAGAGCAGAAAAGGACACTAAGCAACTCCACATACTAAGAATCAGCAAGTTTCCTGAGAAAATCTTATGTAAGCTGCCATGCATCCTTCGCATGTTTTTCTAATTGCATCCCATCCCAAAAGACATCCTTCCCTCTGAGATACTAAGATTTGAAAAACTCCTTCAACAGAATTCTCATGTTTGTCTCATTAAGAAAATTTAAGGGCTTCCCTGGTGGTGCAGTGGTTGAGAGTCCGCCTGCCAATGCAGGGGACACGGGTTCGTGCCCCGGTCTGGGAAGATCCCACATGCCGCGGAGTGGCTGGGCCTGTGAGCCATGGCCGCTGAGCCTGCACGTCCGGAGCCTGTGCTCTGCAGCAGGAGAGGCCACAACAGTGAGAGGTCCGCGTACCGCAAAAAAAAAAAAAAGAAAAAAAGAAAATTTAACATAGCACTATTTTGTTAACATACTTTATTGTTATTCTCTATGGTTGTTCTCAAAATTTTTTTTAGAAACAACCCTTCTCTGACTTTATTTAGAGTTCATCCAATTATTCCATAGGAGAGGCAAAATCATAGACATTAAAAAGTATTACTTTGCTTTGAGAATGTCATATCAGGTGGAATCTACTGAGTGTTTAAATTGAGAAAAAAATTGAAGTGAGTTGGCTTGGTTTCTGGGTAAAGAAATAAAAGGTAATATTTTAATCCATTTATTTTACCTGACTTTTCTTAATTTTTTTGTATTTTAAAATATTTTATGTATTTTATATTTTACTTATTTTTAAAGATATATGCCAAAAGGTCCTAAGATGATCTCACTCCCATTTGGAGAAAAAGGGGACCAGCCAACCATTTCTTTTAACTACTCATTAGGCAGTAATTTATACTTGTGCTTGTTTGGCAAATACTTTTAAGCACTAATAGAGAATTTTAAAAGTCTTACAATTTATGGACAACATTTAGAATAAGATTCTATTTAAATGTTCAGAACGTTGCACACTCTGGGTATGAATCCAACTTCACTGCAATCAGGATGTTTTATAAAAGAATGATGATATTTACACTTAATGTTTCTTTATACCTAGGAGGTTCTTTATTCAGTGAACCCAAATCCAAACCCAAAAAGATTCAATTACATAATGACTAGGTAACAAACAGATATTTGAGATGAAATGCTTTCTAAAAAATGGCTAGTTTTTAATGTATTTTTGTGAAACTTTATTTTCAGTTCTTATGTAGTTTCCTATTTGGAAATGTACTCTGTTAATAAAGGAATGTGGTTTACAATAAGATAAAAATCATGAAGTATAGTTTAAAAATTTATACTCAGTTGATAATAGCTTTTGTCTTTCAAGTATCTTCCCGAATACTTAATCTAATAAGCAATCTTTACTCTATTGATTGTAAAAATTTTGTAGATCAGGAAAGTATATCTAAGGGTAATGATTCATGAACTAATGAAAATAAATAAAACAATGTTTTTTATTTACTTCTAAATTTTTTTGTTTGTTTCTTTGTATCAAAGGGCAGATGCTACAACTCAAGAATATACAAGAATATTTACATTTATTTTAAGAACTTAGACCCTGGCTCCTGTTTAATTCTGTTGTCATGTAGAGATGACCAGAAGATGGTGCTATAGCTCTACTAAAAAATAAAAATAAAAAAAAAAAGAAATTTGCTTATTAACCCTGTTTTGTGTACACATCCCCCATTTTAATTTCCTGCGTACTTTTCTTAAACATATGTATTCTGATTACTTTTTTATCCACTATAGTTCAGTATTATATTTGCCACATAAGGTAACATTTCATTTCTATTTAATAATTTTTCAAAAGTTTGCAATATTAATATATTGGCTTCTGACATTAAAGAATGCAAAATTTATGACTAATACAAGATGATAGAAAACTTACAAGATTTTCAATAATGTATTTTTTTATGCTTCTGTGTTTAATGATGCCTAATAATTTTTCAAGAAAAATTTTAAAACTTTGATTTATTTTATTGGGTACTATTTTTCTGTCATTTTGTGGAGAATTTATAGTTCATAAAGTTTTCTTAAATATTATAATTTTTATAAGTGTTTACTTTCAGAAATTCTATATCAAAACAGCATATTTTCTATTTCTCAATCATGTTCAACAATTTCTATCTCTTAATCATGTTTTAGTCTACAATTTAAGAAAATTCCAAATTTTTCAAAAAGTGATAATTAAAAAACCCTTTTGACTGCTAGATATTTAATATCATTGTTATTGTAAGGAATTTTATTCTTAATAAGGATTTATTTAGTTTTAATACAACTAGTACAAATGTCAGAGGGTTCAATATATTTCATCAACAATCTGCTTGTGATATTTACATGTGGATGAATATTGGTATGTAGACCCAAAACTTCTTGATTTCTCTGGGAGATAACCAGGGAGCAGCATTCCTGGACCCCAATTTTAGAGGACAGACCCCTCACCCCAGCAGAGCTAACAAAATTACATGAAGCTACCTCAAGCTATGTGGCCTTGGAAATTACTGAAAAGTTCTGTTAAATATAGGCCCAGCAGTTTCTCTACTTGACCTCACTCTCTCTGGGTAGCATAACACTCTGTTTTTGTCTTCATAACCAGTTATTTAATTAATGAAATACTTAAAGATTATTTTAATTATAAACGTACATACATAGCTGGTATCCCTGTAAGAGTTATCAGGAAAATGTTTAATTAAATCAACAATTTATAAGAATCACAAAAAGAATTTGAATTAATTCATTAATTTTTATTGCCTAATGTATATTCCATTAATAATATAGTTAGATTTCACTTTTTAAGTCCTTTGAGAAATGGATAGAAATTGTGTGATGATGATATTGAAACTCAGTTGTGCTCCCTTTAAAATTTCTTTAGCTGTTCTACTTACAAGTGGCATATATTTAACTAAGTACTTTATTTATTTCAAGTAATACTTTATCCTTCCCCATCATTTTGTGGTGATAAAGGCTTGTTTTTGTTTATTCATTTGTTGCATCCAGATATCCTCCAGAATTCCTAGGTTTACCCCCTTTGAATATTCTTATTAGATTATTATATTCAAGTTTTACTGGTAGATCGCTCTATCTAGATGACCAAGAAATAAATTTACTGAAGCAAAATGGAAAAAAATTTGCAGAAAGGCTTTTCAAGCATTAACATTCAAGTAGTAGATAGGGAGAGAAAAGAATACAATGTGAGCATGAATGTGTCTCCAAAATGTAAATTAGATGTATTGTGGAACACAGTTGAGAGGTCTACGAGTAGGAAAAGAGACCTAGAGAAATCATGCAAACTGTAGATAGAATACAGTCATCTTAAACTAAAAAAAAACCAAAACAAAAAACAAGCAGGAATGAGAATATTAAACTTTGTTTAAAATATTATAGATTTAACAAATATAACCTTAGGCTTAAATGTTTTGCAACATTTGTGCAACAGTCAAGGCCAATAACCAGTATCAACCTTGATAAACATGAAAATAGAACTGGAAGGGTTTTTTTCTCTAATTCAGAAAATGTGCTGGGCAAAAGAAAACAGTTATTAGTAGATAGCAAAACTAGGTTCTAGGCCTGATTGCTACAGATCCATTTTATGACCAAGGTAACTGAATTCTCTGAGACTTACTTTTCTCATCTTTGAAATGGGAGGATGGGATTGGATGATCTCTGAACCTTCTTGGAGCACAATTATTTCATCTTGATATGAAGCAGAAGAAAAGGTTTCACAAGCCATAGATCAGATATTTTATGTTTATTTTTCTTTTTCTTTGTCTCGTTCTCTTGTTTCCCCTCTCTCCCTCTCTCCCTCCTTGCTCCTCTCTTTGTTTATTCTACTTGTAGCCACTACTTCCTCCCCTTTTTCATTTTTTCCTTTTTTTTTTCTGGCAGAAAAGACATAACAGATAAGTTTAACATTAGTGGTTGTTTTGTGACGGACTTTTTGGAAACTAAAAGAGGTCACAGGAAAGGTTGTGTCCAGATGTGGAAAAGGCTTCAAGAGCTATTGCTCATTGTCTGTTTCTGGAAAAGAGCAGCACCCAGGAAGCCAGCTTAGACTGCTTCTGCGGCCAGCCATGGGATTGGCTTTGTTCAGACGTGTTCACATAGATGGAAAGCAGCTGATTTATTTTGTCAGCCTCCATATGTGAAAACCCCCAAATTGCTTTGATTATACCAATACAGGAAGAAGATTATGAAGGGAAGAGAAACAAATTAATCCACTTTCTTTGGGAGAGAGCTGGGATAGTTTTTAAAGGTCTGCGCTGAAGCAAAACAAGTTTCTTAAAGACAAAAAAGAAAATTCTCTGGCATGAATTAGTCACATTTATGTGCAGAATGTAAGACTGCTGAATACCGAGAAAAAAGCTGCCTGTATTTATAGAACAGGACAGATAGCAAACTAAAAAATTATACCACCCAAAATGAAATAAAGCAAATGGAACCCTTCCCCCGTAACCCCCTCCCTGGATATCAAGGCAGACATTTCAAGACATTCTTATATGCATTAATTATGTTATTCTCCATGGCAGTGCAAAATCATGAAAAGAGAAAGAGGCCTTTAAACACTCTCTGCTCTGGGACTGAACTATACCATGTGTATTCACATTAGAAAGAAATACACAATGCATATAAATATGACACACAAAAGAAGACTGAAACCCCATCTTGCCTTACAGATACTCTGTTTTGAATCGAGTTAGGGTGATCCATATGCTAACAAAATGTTATACTAGGGAATAACTTCTTGAACCCCTACAAGAGGGGTAATAAATACAATTTTTTTCAATAGTTCTCTTCTATTTCTTGAGAAGAAAGGGGGGGGGAGGGAGGAGAGAAGGAAAGTAGGGAGAGAATAGCATTGCCAGATAAAGCCAGGACATTTCAATACTTCTAGACTGAGTCTAGTTCTGAGTGTATTTTTTTGTTTGTTTGTTTGTTTTTTTTGCGGTACACGGGCCTCTCACTGTTGTGGTCTATCCCGTTGGGGAGCACATGCTCCGGACGCGCAGGCTTAGCGGCCATGGCTCACGGGCCCAGCCGCTCCGCGTCATGTGGGATCTTCCCGGACCAGGGCACGAACTCATGTCCCCTGCATCGGCAGGCGGACCCTTAACCACTGCGCCACCAGGGAAGTCTGTTCTGAGTGTTTTATCTGGGATAATTACTTCAATCCTTAGCTTCAGTTTGATTTCTAAATATTTGGGGGCCGTGTGGAGTTTATAAAAATACTTTATAATGGGCAATAATTTATTTAATGAAATTTCAACACTGAATATGAGCTCCAAATATATGTGTTCATTTTCTATAGAAACGGAATTACAGTTTTGTGAATAAATTTTCATTTGTAGTTTGCAAGACATATCAAGAAATCTGAAGGCCAGAAAATTCCTAAAGTGGAGTTGCAAATATCAATTTATGGAGTAAAAATTCTAGAACCCAAAACAAAGGTAAGGCTCATTTTTAAACATTGGAAGCACTCTACTCTTGAATTAATTGCAATTACGCTCCTATTTTAATGAGTATTTTAAAATGTTTTACCAGTTGAAACTGTTGAGTTCTCAGTTAACTACAATTTAAAACTCTATAGGATTTATAGGGGAAGAAACAACATTTGGAATTGCTTTCTGAGTGGTTTGTTCTGCAGCCTATGTTTGGGATATAAAAATTTATACTAAAAGTGTATTCAACGGTATTTGGTCTTGTATTTAGGAATTTTTTTTCATAAGCTTGAATGAGATGCATGTAAGTGTGGTTCACTGAGTATGAAAGAAGACAAAAGCTGTATGCTGTTTATTAAAATGTCCTGGACCGACTGTTATTGCCTGTAGACATAAACAGTGTGTATTAGTTTACTAAGGCTGCCATAATAAAATACCACAGTCCTCGTGGCTCAAACAATAGAAATTTATTTCTCACAGTTCTGGAGGCTAGAAATCTGAGATTAAGCTGACAGCAGCAGGCTTGGTTTCCTCCGAGTCTTCTCTCCTTGGCTTGCAAATGGCTGCCTTCTTGCTGCCTCTTCACGTGGTTGTCTGTGCACGCATACTCCTGTCTCTTTGTATGTCTTATTTCCTCTTCTAAGGACACCAGTCAGATTGGATGAGGGTTGACTCTAATGACCTTATTTTAACTTAATCACCTCTTTCAAGCCTTATCTCCAAACCCAGTCACATTCTAAGGTACGGGGAGTTAAGGCTTCAACATATAAATTTGGGGGGGACATAATTCAGCCCATAACACAGTGTAAACTTAAGGTTCTTGTATTTGAGAGCTTTCCCCCCTACAGATCCAATGGAAAAAAATTGGAAAATATAATCTATTCTAGATTCACATTTATTAATATGTACTTACTGTGGATGTAATTGTTTTCACCTAAATTGCATCAAAAATAACTGAGACATTTGCAAAAATAAGTCCCACATACTATCTTAGCCTACAGAATCAGAATTGCCATGGAAATTTTGCATTTATAATGTGTTTTAGGACAACTGGACAATGGCATGGATGCACCCACAGTTATTGTTCAATTCCAAAATAAAGAACAATTGCATTCTTTCAAACGTCTCAAGCCAAGAATCTAAGACCTCCCTCAACTGTTCTAATTTCCTCCTATTCTCCACACTCAATATTAAATAAAAACAAAGAATTGGAGACCACTTTTGTTATGGTTATCCCAAAGTAACTATTGCTGAGGTGGCTGAAAGCAGACAAAAGAAGTGATGAAAGGATAGTGGGAGGTCTGGTCTATTCAAGCTCATGTATATATATACGGTTTGCTGGGAAACAAGGCAGTTGAAATTATGGCTGAGATTAACTCATTAGGCAGATGGTAGTTACAAAAGAACAGTAGGCTAAGGAAGCAGTAAGTTATAGAGTGACAATGTAGTCAAAAATGTAGCAACCAAAGTGTAGTCTTATATGCAATTAAAAAGAAAAACAATCCTAGTACTCTATTTCCTTTTTTAAACTAAGTGGATATATAGTGGCAAATGTTCAGGTAGAACAAGTCATTTGTAGGTCATGTTTATTTCTTCTAAACCATATAGATCCCTTTTGGAATGTATGTGTGTAATTAATTCAATCTTTTACATGAATTTTAGGACTTGTCAAAGCACACCTTGAAATATGTAAGGCTGATAATACACTTTATGTATCATCTACATGTGTTCTTGTTCGTTTTGATTCAAGTCTACCCATAATATATCCTAAGCTATAAAAATTTCACCAATACCATAGTCTATAAATTACAATCTACTAAACCATTCTCCTATTATTGAACATTTAGAATGCTTCAAATTGTTCATTAATTAATAACAAAATTTAAGTATTTAGAAAATACCAATATGATTAAATGCAGTATATAAAGAGTTTAGAATCAACAGTTTAATAATGGCATACCTTTACAAATCACAAAATATAGAGACTTAAGGATACTGCAAGATGACTAACACTGATTTAGTATGTGGTGTGTGTGTGTGTGTGTGTGTATTTAAAAAGACACAAAGAAGCAGATCATGGGAAATGCATATGTAGCAAATGTTACCCGTTTGTGATTCTGGCGCCCACATAATAAGACTCCCATAATAATGAGTTTCCTGTTTTCAACCTGTCAACTGTATCATTATGTTCCCTAAACTTTTACTGTCAAATCTCTATGCCTCTCCCAACCTAAACCCCACTTACAAAACATCAGTGAGTTGGGATTCAACTCTGTGATTAGCCAACTGACTTTTGTTCATGGTATTTCTTACCCAAATCAATAACACCAATGCTTTTCTTCCCTGTCCCAAAATCTCAATTTCCTATATCTAATAGCTAATTTTAAAGAGACCCAATTTAATTTTTTCCCAAAAAAGTAAGTTTTCCAAACTTTTAACCAGAAAGAAACATCTCTATTTTCATCCCTGCCAGACTTGAAGAGTGATCTTGGAGTTCTAAAATCTTTGAAATGTCTTATAAATTCTATTATATTACATATGGATAGACAGCAACTGACCCTTTACTCATATATCACATGTGAATATAGAGTGTCTGACTCTTTACCTATTATAGAATATACCATTTTTTGAATCCATAAAAACATATAGGTAATCTAAAAAAGGAATTACCAGCTCTTCTGGGCATTAGTGCCCCTAGGAGGCTCCTGAGAATGCCACTTGCTGGAGACCATCCAGGCCTTTCAGATTCAGAATCTACAGAATAAGACTTAGTATCTATAATATAAAAAACAAGAAAACCTCCCCAGGTGACTCTGATACAGCCTGTTCACAGACATGCATTTAGGAACCACTATTTGAGGAGATGTGAGTGAATCAGAAATAATCTATCATATATTTTATTTTGGGTATAAGCTGTAATTTAGGGAAAAAAATAATTAAATATGATGGTCCTAAGATAAATTTATTTATAGTAAAACATACATGTTTGCTATACATTTACATAGTAAATATATTTATATATTTAAAAATTTATTCTTAACCAAATGGACTTGATAGAAAATAGACCATTTTTCTATACCATTTGGATGGATGAAAATGGAAGTGAAAAGCAATCTCAGTTGACTCCAATATCTTTCTTCCTGTGTCTTTTCACCTTTTGCTTTTCTCACTTTTCCTCCAAATGGAGATTTTGCATTACTGGGAAAAGGTGGTATAGGTGAATTGGGGATTTACTTATGTTTTGTTCCAACTCCAATAATATATCGTCAGTGTTAAAGGATAATTGTGTTCTCACTGTGCTTAATTGTATTCCTGAGTCTCTTTATCCTGTCTCACCAGAAATCAGTACTATATCATAAAGATGTATCACAACAACAAAAATTCACAAAAGTAATAAAATTATAAGTTTCAGCACCCTGGTCTTCTTTTGTAGAAAGATACCTCTTGCCAGCCTAAACAAAACTTAAGATGATTCCCAACTGTCATAACCAAAGGCTTTCTGTGATCACATTGGTTGGTGAGTGAATGAGGAACTGCATAGGTTTCACCACCAGCTGTGTAAATGATGTGTTTTCATGTTAAATACTTGTAATTTCTCCTATAAATGGAAAAAAATGAATCATTTTTCTCTGTTGTATAGCAATGATATGTCCTTTTTATGTTTAACATGATTGTACAGTTTGTAAACTGGCGTAGACTTGCTGTCAGTATTTGGGAGCTACAGTACAGCTGAAGGCCATCGTTTGACTGTATTAATAATAAAACAAAGATATGCCAGTGAGAAAAAGACTGGTCAATCAGGCAAAGTGTAGGAGAAGGATAGTCTCAGACAAACGTGGTCAGTGTCCATCTCAGCACTAACCACAAGAGAGGAAAGATGACTTCATCAGAAGCCTTAGTAAGTTGTTTACAATCATGCAGTATACAGCTTCATTTTAATTTTCATGCTTGCAAACAACCCTTTGATGACTTACCATTTGTTTTGTATGCAATCAAGATTGCAGGCTGTAGACAAATTCTCTTAGCATTTATTTGTTTAACTTGTTGTATGTACTCATTTTCCATCTGAAGGGCAGTAATGTGAATCAGAGTGATAGAGAAAATCTCAGCAAGCTGGCACGTCAAACCCTGAACTTGGAAGGATGTAGTGACAGATGCTATAGTTGCAGTATATGATGTGTGTGTGTGTGTGTGTGTGTGTGTGTGTGTGTGTGTGTGTGTGTATATATATATATATATATGCAGTATTTATCTTTCTACTGATTAACAAGGTTGATTCAGCAATTTAGAAGCTGGATGTCTAGATCTTCATTCATTGCTCCAATGGAAAACATTACAGAAGTTGCAAGGATGATTTCCTTAGACAGAAGAGTTTCAAGAGTGTATGAGTTACCATGAAGACATGTAATATGTAGTATGTTTCATATGAAATTGTGTACAAATGAAGTTATGTTTTAAACTGTAATGTTAGTAGCAGTAAGATAAAATGAAAAGTATTCTGGTTAAAAAGGGTTCTGCTAATTCTGTAACCTTGTGGAAGCATCTTAATCTCTCTAGACCTCAATATCCTCCTAACTAAAATTGCACAATTTAAAGTAATGGTCTCTGAATCCCCTGTAGCTCAGGAAGCCCATGAACCTCTGATCCTCTTTTCCCTTCTGTTTTTCTAAGTGCTATTGAAATGACTATCTTAGTTTAATCCTGACTCAGGAGGTTTATCTCATTACGTGTTTGTTTAAGTTTGAAGTGTATGTAATTATAAAATCAAGGAATGACAGATGATGTTTCATAAGTTGTATGTTATTAGCACAGCTGGTATAGCAGAAAATGGAAAAAAAAAATCTCTTCAACTATGTTTATTTTCATCTGTGTTCACAGGAAGTTCAACACAATTGCCAGCTTCATAGAATATCATTTTGTGCAGATGATAAAACTGACAAGAGGATATTCACTTTCATATGCAAAGATTCTGAGTCAAATAAACATTTGTGCTATGTATTTGACAGTGAAAAGTGTGTAAGTATGCCAGATGTTTTAGGGTGGTTTGTTATGCTCTACAAGCCAGGAATTATCTTGTTTCTGACATTAGTAAAGTATTTGGAAATGAATAAGGTCTGCAAATACTTAACTACACTAATAGATTCATCCTGTCATGAGAATATGCTTCAGGATTTCATCCTTAACTAAATTCTCATGTTCATGGGCACAAGCTTTCATGCAAATTTCTTTTCTTAGAATGTCATGCTTATGTTATACATTTGTCTTATAATCACTTGATTTATTTGAAATTTTAAACTCAAATACAATTTAGTAATATGCATATAATGCAAAAGAGTAATTGCGACCAAAGTATTGATTTTTTTTTTCTGGAATGTGATGGATCTGATGAAAATAAATATTTTAAACTCCAGGAAATGAAATGTGTATGGCTTCTCAAAAAAGTCTCCAATACTTTGAAAATCTGGTTCTTGATTTTCATTATTCAGAAAACTTAATATAATGAAAGGTGGTAGAATTGTATGGGCGTGTGTTTGTGCCTGTGTATGAGCTTGAGAATGTAATCTAAAGTTCTTAGCAAGTAAGAACAATTAGAGAATTCCAAAGTTAAGTTCACTAACAGTTCTTTAATTATCTGGAATCTTAAGGAAAACCCAATGTCTTGACTACAAGCATAAGCTAATGCTAATCATAACCTAGTCCGAGGTTCTGTTATAAAACATAAGATGTGAATTCCAAGCACACATTGTAGCCTTTGATAGCTTTAATTGAGGAAGAACATCTAACCTCAACAACATGATTGCCTTAGACAGAAAGAAACTTAATTTATTTATTTGCTCATTTTTAATACTGTCAAAAATAGCAGGGACTAATATTATCACTATTATATAATTTATTTCTCTGGTTTCAGTACGTGAGCTTCTTAAAAACAAATACTTTTATTTGTCCATGTAACTCCTGCGTCAGGTGAACAATAGATGCTCAATGAATTTTTTTCCTTAAAGAAAAGACTATGTGGACAAATTTACAAAAGATACAGCAAGTTATTATCTGTATCTTTTAAACTGTAGTTCTTTAAACAGGCAAACTAATGTGCTAAGCTACTCCGCATCATAACATGTTTTGAGAATTTGATGAATATTATGAAACATCTCATCAGAAAAATATGCTTATCCATATAAGACAATATTATGTGAACAATATGGCATTTTATATGAAATTAAAAAGTTGTTTTTGAAATGTATCCTATCGAATGAATGCATTATATTTAATGTCCCAAATGCTTCTTAACCATAATTGCTTGCAAATGTTTTCTCTGTGATTGAGAAGATTAAGGTTGATACTTATTGAATATCTTCTATGTGTAAGATATTATAACCTTTTACCACTTATGACAAACAGTAAATTCAGTTGCCCTTCTTTCTTGTCTTACACATGGGAATAAACTTCCTTGGGGTCCTTTGAAATAGTCATAACCCAAGTCCATTATAAATACTAGTCTTCTTATAACCTTATGTCACATGTTTTATCTTTCTTTGATCTCCAAATTTATTACATGATTATTTAAAATATAAGCTTGCTAGAATTCCCATGAACTTTTATTGATTTCAAAGTATAAACTCTGTTACTCCCTGATCATAATTGTTTGTAACTGATTTCCAGAATTTCAGTTCCTTGACCCATTATTCCTCTCTGGATATACCATATTAGCTTTCTTTTTTCTTGAAGGTTGAAAATATTTTCTTGAAGCCTACAGCAGTGGCTCACAACCATTAGTGTGCATAATGGAGGACCCTTTACAATACAGCTCATTGGTTCCCACTACAAAAAATAAGTTCATATTGATTCGTGCTGGAGCTCAGGAAATCTACATTTAACAAGTCCACCAAGTGATTCTGCTGCAGGTAGATGGAAGTCTGAGCTTTGAAAAGCAAGGATCCAAGATATCTCTCCAACTATAAGTTGGCATCACTTTCATTAGCTTAAAGAGGACATGTTTCCTCAAAGTTTCATTATATCATTTTCACCTCAAAGTTTTATTTGCTCTAATTATAACAATGTCTATATTCATAAAATTGATTTTATATGTATGCAGAATTTTGAAATACCATCCTCTCTAACTCTCATTTCCTAGTTATTGAAAATTAAAACAGGAAAATAAATTATGGCCCGATTAACACAACTCTTCCTCTTACTTTAAGAAACCAAAGCTTGAGAAGTTGAGTGACTTTCCCAAAGTTACAAAGCTAGGAGATAACAGAATCAGGATTGAGATTTAATACCTTGAATTGCCATTGTAACATCTATCCAGTCATGCTATCTTACTCCCAAACTGTGACCTGTTCCAGGGGCCTTGTCTTATATATTCATTATATTTTATCCTTTCAGTACTTCCATGAAATTGTTGAGAGTTTGAAAGATAGATGAAGCCCCTCTTAGCATGCCATGAGACTGGAGTTCACTACTTTGTTAACATGTTGTGTTAATGAGTCTCCTTCCATGGTGACAATGAGGATAATGTGGGGAGCTAGAGTACCCAGCCCTGCTAAGCAGTAATGAAGAGAGGCCAAGTAAGGAAGCTAAGCTTCTATCCCCACCAGGCAGTAATGAGGCAATGCTCTCCCATTCCCATTCCCCTACTGGAACCGTGTCAGAGAGAGCCACCCAAACACAAAGTTTAAATAATTTCCAGCGTCTCATAACATAATATCTAAAATATCCAGGGTTCACTTGAAAATGACTCATCATATCAAGAATTGGAACATAAACTAAATGAAAAAAGATGACCAATAGATCTCAACACTGAGATGAGAGAGATATTAGTTACCAGACAAAATTTTTGTCTGGTAACTGGTAACAAAACAAGCCAACATAAAAATAATAAAATAAACCATTACAATCACACTTGAAACAAAAAGTAGAAAGTATTATCAAAGAAATAGAAAATCAAAGCAAAGAAATTGAAGATATAAAGAAAACCCAACTGAGAATATTAGAGCTGAAAAATACGATAGTCGAATAAAAAATGCAATATATGGGCTCAGAAGGGAGAGGACAGAAGAAAGAATCAGCAACCTAGAAGATCAAAAAATAGAAAATGCCCAATCTGAACAACACAGAGATAATAAGCATACACATATGTATGCACACACACATGTGCACACAGGCATACACACAAAACAATACAAAAGCAAAAAACAAAACAGAACTTCAGGGACCTGTGGGACTATAACAAAATGTCTAACATTCATGTGTCATCAGAGTCCTGGAAAGAGAGAGAAAAAAAGGTAGCCTTGAAAAAAACACATGAAGAAATAATAGTTGCAAACTTCCCAAATTTGGCAAAAGACATAAACCTATAGATTCAAGAAACTGAATGAACTCCAAACAGGATAAACCCAACTAATTCCACACCAAGTCACATCATACATAATCAAACTTCTGAAAACTAAAGACAGAAAAACCTTGAAAGCTGCAAGAGATAAACTAGTCCTTACCTATAGCAGAAACATCAGTTCAAATGACAGTGTATTCCTTATTAGAAACCATGAAGGTGAGAAGGAAGTCACAGTATTTTTTTGAGTGCAAAAAAAAAAAAAAGGAGTGCTGTCAAACCAGAATTTTATATCCAGAAAAAAACATATACTTCAGAAATTAAAGAGAAATCAAAAACTTATCAAACGAAGGAAAACTAAGATTATTTGTCACTCCCAGATCTACTCTAAGTGAATGGCTAAAGGAAGTTCTCTAAACAATAAAAGAAGGCATCTTGGAACATGAGGAAGGAAAAAAGAACAGGATAAGCAAGCATATGGGTAAACCTTTAGTTTTCTAAATTATGATTGACAGTAGAAGCAAAAAATACTTTCTGATATGATTCTAAATGAATATATAGAAAATATGTAAGGCAATTATATTATAAACAGGGAAAGTTGAAGGGATGTAAAGGGAGGTAAGGTTTCTACACCTCTCTTGAACTGGAAAAATGACAGCATTAGTAGACTGTGATAAGTTGTATAAATATAATGTGGATTCCAGAGCAACCACTAAAAAAGTTATAAAATGGGATACATTTTAAAATACTATGGGTAAATCAAAATTTTATTATAAAAATGTTTTAAAAACCCATAGAAATTCAGTAAAAAAAAAAAAAAAAACAGAAAGAAAAAATAGAAATAACAGAAAAGAAAAAAATTAAATGGAAATTTAACCTCTAATATATCAAAAATAACATTAAATGTAAGTGGTCTAAGTATACTAATTAAAAGAGATTGCTAGAGTAGATTTTAAAAAACCCAGATATATGTTGTCTTCAAGAAACTTGCTGCAAGTATAATGATACAGGTGATATAAGAAGGTTAAATATAAAATGATGAAAAAAGATGTATCATGCAAAAATTATTCTAAGAAAGCACAAGTAAGTGTATTAATATCAGATAAAGTACACTTCAAAGTAAAGAAAATTATCAGAGACAAAGAAGGACGTTATTTAATGATAAAAGGGTCATACCACCAAGAAGAATAACAATTCTAAATTTACATGATCATATCACAGAGCTGCAAAATAAATGAAACAAAAACTGATAGAACTGAAAAGAAATATGGGGTAAATAGACAAATACAAAATTATAGTTGGAGCCTTCACCACCACTTTTCTTAAAATTAATAGAACAGCTAGACAGGAAATCATCAAGAATATAGAACTCAACAACATCAGCAACCAAAGGAATCTAATTAGCAACTAAAGAGAACTTCATTCAATAACAACAGGATGCATATTGTTTTCCAGTGCCAAAGGAACATGTACCAAAATAGACCATATCCTGGGCTACAAAGCAAACCTCAAAAGTTTAAAAGAGTTGAAATGATAAAGCATGGGTTCTCTGACAACAAAGAAATCGACCTAAAAATTAATAACAGAAAGATAACAGGAAAGTCTTCAAAAACTTGGAAGTTTTGTTTTTCCATATGTCAAAAAGGACATCACATTTGTAAACATTCCATATGTTAAAGAGGAA